TCCGCGTTGTGTGTGGCAACTGCCCGTGGGAAGCTGGCACACACAGGGGGGGGGGAGGGGAGATGTGTGTGTGTGGGTGTATTTATCAGTCAGGTTAAGAAAGGAGAACATGGTTTTGAAGGTTCAGTGTTTTTCTTATATACTGTATTTTGTATTATCTTAAATACTGGATCTCGTCAAGATCACGAACCCCAGCTTATTGCACCTGATTATTAAACCTAAGAACATATGAAAGGAGAAAACTAGGCAGTCCCATTTACACCCAACCCCTATCGCTCATATATCCGCCCGACCTATATTTGAAGCTACCCAGGGTATTGAAGTTGATGATGATATTTGGTAACTTGTTCCATTCATCCATTAGTCTATTTCCAAACCAATGTTTACCTATCTCGCGCCTAAATCTAACTTTGTCTCATTTAAAACATTGTTACAAGTTCGCTCCCGGTTGGATAGTTTGAGTACCTTTGTTATATCACCTTTGTTTAGCCCTGACTTCCATTTATACACCTCGATCACATCGTCCCTCACTCTACGTCTCTCGAGGGAGTGCAAATTCAGGTGTTTTAATCTGTCTCTACACTTGGGACTTTACACTTTGGACTTGCGACTTTACACTTGGGACTTAAGGCCTTACACTTGGGACTTTAAGACTTTACATTTGGGACTTGAGACTTTACACTTTGGACTTAAGACTTTACATTTGGGACTTCAGACTTTACACTTGGTATTTGAGACTTTACACTTAAGACTACATTTGGGACTTGACATCTGAGGCTTGAGACTTGACTTGAGATTTAGGACTTGACATTAAATCTGCCACTATGACATTCTCCTGACTTTTTAAGATCTTTGAGTACATTAGTGCAGTATAGCTAATGTCTTAACCAGTAGCCTAGCTTACACTGCTCTTAATTATGGTAAAATACTCCATTGACTTAACCACACACACCATTGTCTCTAAACAGAGCGGGAAACAAAAGAAAGACGATTTCCCAACACAGCGCGCGCCATAGCTGCTAGGGGGGGGGGGCAGTTTGTGGTTGCCATATTTCTGTTAATGTCGTGCAAATTATCCACCCCTTCTCCCATATGTTACGGCGAGGGTTATCTTCTTATATATTACTGTACCACCACATCTACTGTTACTCTTTACGAGGCAGACGGAGGCGAGGGGGGAGGGAGGGAGGGTGTGAGGTTTGTGTTTTGTGGAGTTGGCATAGCGCCCGTAAATGTTTTTGGTGGGAAATCGTTTCAAAGCGCGCTCTCTCATTTTGACAACAAATAACCTTTTAGAGACTATTTGCTCACATGTTGAAGAAGAGAAGGCTATTGGCATGTTACTGAAGCAGGAGTTGGTGATGATACTGAGGATGACGCACTGTGACTGACGCCCTAATAACTACTGTACAGTACAGTAGGTACTGAGGAACATGATTTTATTTGCGTCTCATGATTATTTCTCCTTTTTATTAATCTCTCTCTATCCCTCCTTTCTCTCCCTCCTTTGTTTTCTCCTTTCTTCTATCCTTTTTCCTGCTTTTTCAACCTTTTTCTCCCTTTCTTTCATTTTCTTTCTTTTCTTCCCCCTCTCTCTTCTTTTGCTTTTTTTCATTATTACAGCTCTCCTCTCCCCATCCTCTCCCCCACCCAGGTCGTCAGTGTGTCACGGGACGAACAGTGTTTATGCCTGGAGTCTGACGGGCGGCCATTAGCGTCTCTTATCTTCCCACACACTATTAATTATTGTTTGGGCAAGAGGTAAGAGAGTGAATGAACTTCGAGGGTTTGTTTCTTAATATGTTTTTAGGGAAAATATTTAATGTGAAATTCACTTCGTGGTGGCGGTTAGCTGGGAGTAATGGTTGTGTTGACCTCACGATTACATAACCCGGCATTATTACAACTATCGTAAGTACATAACCCGAGATTAACACAAGTGACTGTACCGCCACACCTACCTGCGCTGACCCGACTATTTAAGGATGGTGTACCTGTGATTGGCAGTGCACCGCTACGCCCAGTTAATGCCTCCATCTACAGTACTCACTAAAATACACATGGGTGAAATACGTACTTTATTACTCAATGATAAAATGCGTGTTGTTTCTGTTGTGTAATAAATTATATGAATATACGAATTTATTCTCAGCGTGTGATTCAGTCAGTATTCTCTATCACGAATGATTTTTTAAACACAGTCACAGGAACCAGGTAGCTATGGTTAATATAATAATACTAGTTTAATAAGACTTCATAAATCAACAATACACAATAGTATAGCTTCAGATAAAATAAAAATATATTACCTGAAAAAAAATAACTTAGTAACTCCTTAAAGGTTAGGTTATATCAGACTTAACCTTAACTCACTATTCTCTGTAGACTAGTTTCATTATTTTTTCTTCGTAGCTTCTCCACTCACACACAATGACGAGGGGGGGTATAGAGGGAGGTCATACCCATACCCCAGAATGTAAATTGGTGTTATTGTCTTTCTAAATACTGGATTTTATCACGTTTTAACCCAGAGACGAGCAGTGTTTGTGTTGGTTATTAACACCATGAAGGTTACACCGTGTAAAGTGTGCCCCACTTAGTCCTAGGGTTATCTTTCTCTGTCTCTCTCTCATCTATCATAGCTTCAGTATCTAAGTAATATTACAACACATTTTCAAAACTCATATAAGTTCACATTTGCATTGCCCCTCACTCTTTCAGGAATTTGCCAATGGGTGCATTAAAATGCTTAAGCAAAAGATCACTTACTAAAACACATCCAGCAGTCATTAAGTTGGTTAAGAGGAATAAAACGGAGGGGGGTGGGTCTCGACCGTGTTCAGTATTCAGGTGTTCTCCCGGTGACTGCATCTTCTGAGTGTTATGAAGGGTGAGCAGGTTAATTATATGTCATTAACGTAGGTGTATAGTTGTGTATGTGTGTGTGTGTGGTGATGCTGTGGGTGGTATGGAGAGGTGGGTGGCTGTGTATGTGTGTGGTGGTGCGGTGGGTGAAATGGCCAAGTGTGTGTATGTGGGAAGGGGTGTGTGTGCAGGTGCGTGGCTATGAGTGCATGCACTTTTCTTCTTGACATAGAATTGGAAGAGTATAAATCGATCTCGTTAATAAGTAATTCGTAAGTAAGTAATAATTTTTTTTTTTTCGGGGATTAGTCCACCCGGGCACAGGTCACTGACCCACATCGGGGCCTGGGGGCAAAAATAAAATACTATTAATAACACTAATACTAATAATGATAATAATAATAATAATAATAATAATAATAATAATAATAATAATAATAATAATAATTGTAACCGCCATTCAGGCGGCTAAAGGATTTAATGAGACTTGTGACGTTGAAATCGAACATTATAATTTGGTCAAACCTGTTGAATACAATTCATTTTAGTATTTCAAATAAATCATACATAGGCAGTCACATAAATGTCTAATCCAATATATATTTACATAACAATCATAGCTATGAAATTAGTCTAATCTTAACACTTACAATGAGTACTTAATTTTCCATATTTTTATGTTGTCACACTGATAAACGATGCAATGGACACAGTCTACCTGTGTACACAATAAGTACCAGTTAAACTTACGTGTTGAAAGTCTCAAGAGAAACCAGGTTAGGTGCTCCCTCTGTGATATCTGATTTTAACAATTATTAACTACAGCGGCATGAACAAACAAGTTCAAGTAACATCTTGCTTGAGACTCTCTTCAACTAAACGCTTTTTTCTGTTTGTAGTCTGACATAGACTATGCAGTGCCGATACCCTGCAATGTCGCCTCCCCACCCTCTCTCAATGATGGGCGATGGCATTGAAGTCAGGTGGATTATTGAATTATACATAAACAAAACTCCCCTTACACACTCCAACCTCCTCTGGGCCTCTCATCTCCACCATGTCAATACTCTATATACTGTACTGTATACGGGCAGGCACACTCAATAAACATGACATGACTTACAGCCTAACATAATGTTTGTTTATGTGTCATCCTACTCATTACTGCTTGCGGTAACAATAATAATTCCTAAATAAAATTTATAATAAAAAATACAAAAATGAAAAAAGATCAAAAGTGAGAAACAATATCTGTATGTTGTGTTGTCAATAGTAAGAGAAACAATTGAGACCCTGCAATTGTGTGTAAATGAGGCAGAAAGTCAGATCAGCAACCTGGGACTTGGTCACAATTTTCGTGATGCCATATGGCAGCAGGGTCCCCCATTAGACAATATTTTATGCTTCCAATATCTTCCCAGGCAGTAGTACCTCCCTATAAATTATGTTATAAGGGGTATAAAAATAAAATAAATTATACAGTTATTAATAAGCTTCACAAAAATAAAGCAGCATTTCTTTAACTGTATCAAATATTGACCTGCTACTTGGAGAAAACCTGGAACAGCCTATCATCGTGGAGCACTGACAAGGTCTTCTAAAATTTTAATGATTTCCACAACCCTTAATATTTGCCCATATCCCTTATCAGCCTCCCACAACCCACATCTTTCCATTACCCTCAACCCATAAGTCTCCCACAACCATAACAAACTTTTCACAACCCTGAACAGCCTTCCACCAATTCTTAACCCTTTTGCGTCGGGGTGTGGTTTTTGCTGTGGTACCTCCCCACAAGGGGGTTTTAGGAAAATCAGAAAAAAATATTTTAGATAATCCAAATTTTCCAAAGAAGCAAGCAAAATTTTCTTAAAAAAATGGTAAATGACACAGCATATGAAACATTAAATTTAAATGTCCCACGAGGTGTCATAATGCTGCGCCACACTCTCAGGACTGCCAGACATACGATGAGATAGATTCCGACTAGCCTCATTATTTTACTATGTAGGTTTCACATTTTCTTTATATATTTTTTATTATAAGCAGCCTCCCACAATGCCCATAGGAAACCCTAGTACAAAGCTTTGAGCTGAGGATTTGGCTTAAAGGACTATTATTTATACAATTGTGACTGAATTTTACAGTTTATTGCTTCAGGAACAATAATATGTTTTCATACAAACAAATTAACATTCTATACATGACATATTAACGAGATGAGTAATTATTCATTCACCTGTCTACAAAAATTTTAATCTGAACTTAAAGGAATGATACAAGTTGGGATTAATTATTCACTATTTCTCAATTCCATATTATTTTGTTTTCCTTCTATGAGCATACTGAACTAAAAATGAACACAATACTGTATATAAATATGGTATGGGAAGTCTTATTTTGAACCTGAATCTTCCTATTCCCATAAAACTAAATCATCCATTAACAGTGTATCAACTTATTCAGAATCGTCCTATTAATGCCAAAGTCGAATGGTAGAATCAGCACCAGCAGTGAATAGGTATGGCTCATATGGGTGCCAGGTGAGGTCAAGTACACAATAATCTTCAAACTTGGAGTGGCCCTTCAGCTCCTTCACAGGTACCAAAAATGGATCTTTCAACCAATCGCTGTAAAAAAAAAAAGAAAAGAAAAGAAGAAAATACAATTAATGACTGCTTCTGACAGCCTGGAAATATTTTTGGAGCAATTCCAAGGATACCTTCTTTCCTGCTGCTTCAAAATATAACCCATACCCAATTGTTTCTTAACAATACTTAATATGTATATAAATTAAAATAACTTAACATAATGAAATTAAATTTAAATCACCCTTAAAATATGACATATTTTGAGTCAAAATTGCACGTTACACCAGAGACAGCTTGTAATGACATTTAACTTGCTAATTGCAGCATCTTCTGACCATGAATTCATTTTATAACAACTACTTTGGTAGCAAACACATAATGGGAATGTACATTTCTTTGCACGCAAGTAAAACTGTACCCCCGGTCAGCAAATGTTATTCGTGGCCATTTTGAGAACCTAACCCCTGCGAATTTGAAGGGCATGCTGTATATGTTTTTGTTGGCCAATGGCTCGTCATAATTACTTTTCTAATAATTTCTTTCATTGTGCAACTATCTGTCACCTGTAAGGGAAAAGGTGTTTTTGGCCATTGTGGCAAAACTAATGAAAATTTTGATTTTGCTACATTAGTCAATATTGATACAGGAGCTCCCTCTTACCACCACCATATTTAACACTTCTAATTCGCTAATGAAGTAAGGAAGGTGTCTGTTTAGCGTCAAAGTCCGTTTAAGTTAGGGCGGCAGCTAAGATTCTCAGCTTTCAGCCCTATTGGCAACAGATGTGTCCAAACACCCCCTTAACTAACGAGCTATGCTTGTACTGTACTGGGAAAGATAAAAGTCTTTCTTTAAGAAATTTATTCCAGTCATGAGATGCAGCAGCATAATGGGTACAGCACTTGCCTCCCTGTGTACCAAAAATGTAGTGTTAGTGTGTACATGTACTGTATATGTATTGTATCCACACTGCCCCAAGCAGGCAGTCAGGACTACGGAACTGTCTTTCATTTATTTCAGGATCAATTCCTCAATTTTAAAATACTTACCACAGCAGAGCAGGCACTGCAATTTTTGGGTGCATCTTGACGGGCTAACAGTTACCATATTATGAACTTTAAAACCACTACAACTCATAATGTTGTGTCACAATCCGACTGTTCCTATTGAACATTTTTAATTACTTATAATTACCAAACTCCCATTTCAATATGTTCAGTATATGCAGCTTTTTACAAAGCCTGGTGCATTATTCTCAAAAATGGAAATATGTATACATACAGTATTTTGAACATCTTAGGAGTGATCTTCGAACTTACTTGTAGACCATTCCATGTGATATAATGACTCGTCCTTCATCTGCAGCAGATGCAAATAATGGATATTTACGATGGAATGCTACACTACGGACAGCTGTTCTGTGGTAACGTAGAAGATGTGGTCTTCTGGTACACTCCATCTCAAACCTGAAATGTTTTTATAATTCATCATAAAAGTAATTTCTATTAAATTCTTAACATTTAATAGGATTCAAACAACTGTGTAAATATATAAGGTGTTCAGTACAGTGTACAGTGTTGCAGAGCAAAAAGTACTGAAATGCCTGAGAAAATTATATTTTTTACGAGTAAGAAAATCGTTTGAACTCTATATAAGGGCTGGATGATCCTCCAAGAATTCCAGCTAAAATGGATGGAAGTCTGACAAAAGTTCACAAGATGCTCTGGAGTGTCATGGGGCAGTTAAGAAACATCATGTAATACTGTACTTATATGATGATAACTTGTGACACTCAAGACATTTCCTAAAGGAGTTCTGATCTCAAAAGAAAATTTTGGTGTATATTAGAATCTGGAAATCTATTGAGTCAACCTATTGAAGGACTTACTTTAAGAATAATTAATAGAACCACATCTACAGTGGTACTTACCAGTTAAGTTTGCGATCATATCCACCAATAAGGAAGTGCTCTCCACCGGGGTGAATGGCTATTGATGATATCCAGCGACTGTTAGCCTGGACTTTTTTCAACATTCTTTGCTTCTGTAGGTTGTAGACACGAATGTGGCCTTGTGTCTGTGGGTTAGTAATAATTACAGTACAGTACTGTCTAAACATGTTACAATGACAAAAATAAGCCAATTTACTGTATCACAGAATATTCAATTAAAAAAAAAAAAAAATTCTCTCCCCCCCACTATATTGGCACTCTCCACAATCAGTGGCATTCATTTTTTCTTAAATCTGTAAGTCCCAAAACACCCATTTGATATATCCACCCCTTCACTCAACATAGCATCACCCATTCACTTCTAATTATTTCTAAACTAGAGCCAGTCATGGGTCAGTCTTTATGTTCAGCAAGTCTACGGGAAAATTAAGTTACCTGAGATCCAAACTTTGAGTTGAATTATTAACTTAATAATTTTAAAACTTAAAATAGCATTCACCTTGATGCTAGATTTCAATAAGGAGCATAAGGTTCTTCACCCTACAAACACATACTCATTAATCCTCTATTGTTTGACTAACTTATTCTTTCAAATGAATCGAAGTACAGTACAATATTGTACTTTAATTGGCACACTGCTCTCACATTGTAGTAAAGGAACTTTAGAATTGCATATGAACGAGCAGGGAAGTTAGCGTACTGTGTAAAGTTGTAAGTTTGGACTCCAAGACAATTAACCATTATACGTATGTGCCTTGTTCATGTTTTGTTTTTTCTAAAGAGAGAAGAGAGTGAAAGAAGATTAGAGAAGGGAGGAAGGGAGTTAATAGTTTGGAAATTGAAGAAATTTAGGAAGAGGTGGCAGGCTAACTGCTTTACTACTGGTTAGCTAAGCTAATAGGGTGTTAAAAGTCATGCCTTGGGCTAGTTATAGTAGGTGATTTTCTTGGAGATGATTTACTGGTTGGCTGTTTGCAGCTCTGGCACTAGACAGCCTACTCTATCCCATTTATGGGTGTTTTGAGGATCATATTTTATGTTCTGCCAACCCTGCTAGAGGATGCTGGGTGGTAATATACTTCCTGAGGTTTGGTAACTTTTTGGGAACCATCTATGGTTGTTGTTGATGTCTGGTGGGAATTCTTTATAGGAGTTCTTGCTCTGATTGTTCTATTTTTTCTATGACTGCTGGCCAGGGTGTGCAGCTACTGGTTGATGGGTCTTATTCTCAGGTCTCTGTGAATTTTGGCTGTAGTTCTAATGAAGGGATGTCTTTCACCTGCGATGAATCTCAGAGCTTTGTCCGGATCACTTGTTTTTAATATTTGAGTGGTGCTCATAGTATGGAGAAGTACTGCTGGTAAGTTAATATTGGTGTGATAAGTGATGTAACTAAACATAGTTTAATTTTCTCACAAAGCACGTTAAGGCGGTCAAGTTTTTTCAGCTCCTTTTTACTTTTCCTTTCCTGGTGTGGACAAGAAGGGAGGTCATAGGACCTTGTTAAAAAAAGTAATTGTGGAAGCATCTGCCAAGTGTTATTGCTGTCAAGAACCTCCCACTGTTTTTTCTTTATTAAAAAATGAGGCTACAAAATGGGAAACAATGATGATTAAGTTAAAATAATTACTTACCACCACAAATAAGAAGGGAAGCTTAGGATGAAACTGTACAGTTTGAACACGACCTTTACACTTGTTAAAAGGTACTTGGGACCGCCATCGGCTTAACTGGTGCATGAGGACAGACCTGTGATCTCCTTCAGGAATAACTGTAGCAAAATAGTCACCCTGCTTGTGCCACACTATCTGCAAATTAAATAAATGTTCCTTTCTAAAAGATGTCCAGATTTATGTAACACTGGTCACAACATTAATTAGGGTATCCTGGTAAGAATTTACACACTGAAAAGTTTTCAGTTTTGAACTAAAGTAAATACATAATATAAAGAGGTCTTGGAGTTTAACATCTGGATGAGGGATGATGATGTGTACGGTGGACCAAAGACAACAACAGTGAGGCAAGGGAAACAAGAATGTGGAGAGAGATGCAAGGTCTACCCGTAGACACAAAATTATAAGACAAAAAAATAAAATAAAATAAATAAAATAAAATATATATTAAACAGGTATTTTGGGGATTGTACAAAATTAATTTTGTACAATCCCCTAAAAAAGTATCGTTTGATTTTCCATTGTTACAATTTGAAACACGAGAGAAAATGACCCTCATTGCATCATCGCAAGTTGGTATGCTTGCTCGCCATATCAGCAACAGCTAGAGATGGGGGTAGGACTAGGGGATGGGGTCATCCTTGTATTGGCTTAATTCATAAAGATACAGTGAAGATGATATTAAATAAAGATATAAGGCAACCATTAAAATATTCAAGGGAGGTTGAGTCAGGAAATCAAGATGTTAAGTTAAAGCTAAGGGAGAAAATATGTTAGAATGGCTATGGGAAATGTGTATGATTACATGGATAAGCAGGTAACTATCAAGGGATTAGAAGGATGCTGTTATTATCCATAAATGAGAAGAGTATAAGAGTTTCAAGGGGAAGATTTAGGAAAGGATAGGGGGTATTGATAAAATATTTACACCAAGTCATGTATATAAGAGAGAGAGAGAGATGCATCAAGAAAAATATTATGATGTGACCCACACAAGTAATACAGAAGACAACTCCTTACCTGTTTGACACTACGGAAATGGTCTACAACAACTCTGTATCCCTTGGCCCACTCATCACCTGTAGGTTTCCTCCATGTCACAGCTGTTTTCACACGCTCAGGTTCTAGGGGTCATCAAAAACTTAATTGTAAGACTTAATATTTACAAAGACAGTGTAAGTAATATTTTCTTTAATTTATGTAACCAAACTTCTATACAGTACTGTACTGTTATTGACATAATTTATTTAGTCAGAAAAACACAGACAGAGTCGATTAAAAATCATAAGTAATATCTCCGTTAGCCGGAATTTAAATTTTCTTGAAAATTTTTTCCCAAAGCCAAAATTTTCCTGAAAACTCTGGCTTTGGGAAATTTTTTCCGAGGGGTGCATTTTCCGGAAAATTCCGGGAATGGGTTTTTTCTTCTTCCGGGTTTGAGAGATTAAAATCAGGCACATTTTCTGGAAATTCCGAGATAAATTTTCTGTTACCCGGAAAATTCCGGGTGTGATGTTTTTTTTTTTTAAGTACTGTAAGTCATTGTCTGCACAACTCTCTTTTGTGTGGTAACCAGGGATTGTGTTTTTGAAAAGCTAGAGGCCCCCCATAGTGTGTGACAGTGTATCAGGTGTTGGTAAACAAGATCATAATAGATTTCTTTCATTGCTGTGAGAGTGAGTGACTGTTGAGTGTGATACTAACTCTGAGGAATTTAGTATTTTGTTCGCATTTGAGGACTGTATTACCAAGGTACCGGGGGTCCAAATCTGGGGGTAAGTTTTTCCTTCTGTGAAAGATTGTGTAGTGGGTTCTTTCGAGGTTTAAGGTCAGTTTATTACGTATTACCCAGGTCCTGACTTTAGTCAATACCCCGTACAGTGTTCATAGTTGTCATCAAGGAATGGAGGTCTGAGTTGCTGGCATAGAGATTAGTCTGCAAATAAGTTGTATTTTATGAGTGTGCTGGCGTGGACTACATCGTTTATGTACAACAAAACAGGACTGGACCGAGAATGGAACGTTGAGGGATGCCATGCAAAATTGGTGGGGAGTCAGATTGATGATTATTATTGCAGATATACTGCTTCATGTTGGACAGATATAAGGTAAACCAGTTGTGGGACAGGCCCCTAACGCCGTAATGTTCAAGCTTTGAAAGGAGGATGGTATGGTCGACAGTATCAAAGGCTTTAGAGAGGTCCAAGAATATACCAACTGTGAACTGACTGTCATCAAAGGAGTTTAAGATGTCATTAGTAAAGGATAGCAGAGCACTTGCAGTCGATCATACTGAGAATCTGTAAGGATGTTATTGACATTGCAGAAGCAATTTAGTCTACTACATGCTAGCTTCTCCAGTATCTTACTTAAGGCTGGGAGGACTGATATGGGGCAGTAATTCTTGAAAAGACCTTTGTCCCCAGATTTTTTATATGCTGGGTGAACTTTATCAATTTTCAGTTTATCCGGAAAGACACCACTAGTGAAGGAGGAGTTACAAATGTGTAGGAGAACAGGTAGTAATAAGTGGGCTACTTTCGTAATGATGCTCATTGGTATATTGTCTTCGCCTGCTGGTACATCTTTGGACATTTTTATGATGATCAATAATTCACCTGCTGTGACAGGGAATAAGAACAGCTCATTTTGCTATCTGTTTTGCAGGTAGGCTATAAACTCCTCATGGCAATTAGGGATGTTCTCTGCAAGACTTTTGCCAACATTAATAAAATAATCACTGAAGTGGTTGGCAATGGAGGAGGGTTCCATTACAACTGAATCATTTATCATAAAAGCTGAGTGGGGGGCCAAAGGTTGAGTGTTTCTGTTGCGATTAGAATTTATGATATACCAGGTTTTCTTACTGTTGCCTGATGCTGACTGGAGCTTATTTGTATAATAGCTATGCCTGGCACTTCTAAATGCTTGAGTTACTCTATTTCTGATACTTCGGTAAGCATCACTGAAAGTTATGGGTCTTTTAACAAATTTCCTTTAAAGTTTGTGTTTTTTCTTTTATCATTGCTTTGATCTCACTTGTGGTATAGGGTTTGGAAATGGATACAGTTTTCAATAACTTAGTCTTGAGGGGGAAGCATTTATAAAAGCAGGCATTGAAGATGCAAGAGAAGTTGCAGCAGTTCATGTTAGGGTTGTCTAAGGCATAGACAAGATCCCACATAGCATTTATTAAGTTGTTTTAAAAAAGGAGCATGTTGTTGGCACAGTAGTCCCTGTATTTTATTGAGACTACTAGACCTTTCAGATCTTATGGCTGTTTTATACCTGGCAAAAACTGGGAAGTGATCCGAGATATTGTTATAAATAATTCCACTTGCTAGATTGTTAGGAGTGTTGTTATTCCAGATATGATCTATCACAGTGGCAGTTACTCTAGTGGGTTAGGTAATAGTGTTGAAGAAGAGCTTAGAATGACAGGTTGCAGTTCCATATAGTTCATATAAAGCGTATTAAAAAGTTAAACTAGTGGGTTAACATTATCGCGTTTCTCATAGCCCTTTCAGGATTATACATTACAGGTAATTATAATTTTATCCATTTACTGATAGAATAAGAAAGTGAGAAGAATTGGAAGAAAATAGTACAATTGTGTGTGTAAGTACAAGCATGAGTCCACGTGTAATGATTTTTGTAAAAATCTATAACGCATGTGGATTTTGTATTCTTGGCTTAAAAATTAAGAAAAGTTCTGAGAAGACCAGAATGGACAGTCAAAGGCAAAAATAAGGCCTCGTCGTGATGTTTAGAAGAACCTGTTACCTAAGAACTTTCACAAGTCTTTAATACAGGTACATATAAAAGCAAAGTCCAGTCTTTATTTAGCCATTCCTAGAGGCTAGAAGTCAAGTTCCTGAATCTGTCTGTGCCACATTCCCCTGTTCTGCTTCCTCCACTTTTACTTCTAATGTTCTGCATGAATCTCTCAACCATATACCTCCTTTGTAACTTGTGTCTTCTCTTCATCTCCTTCCTCAGACTGGCCCATTCCAAGCCACTATTACTGCATCCCTTTCCTCTTCTCATATCATATAATCAAACTATCTTAGCTTTGCCTACCTCATCAATGGCTTACTGTGCTGTATATGTGCAATTTCTGATCCAGCTCCAATACTTCATCACCTGACTCTAAGTGACAGTCTCAATACCCATTCCTACATTATCTTAATTCTCTCCAACAACTCTTCTTCCCCAGTGCAAGTGTTTGCTCCACACAACAACAATTATTTAATTACAGGCTTATTTAACTTTAACACTAAACTTTCTTGGCATCTTTCTGACATTCACTATTAAATTCTGAATGTCATGATACTTACGTATGTAGTCGCCTTGATCAGGTTCCTCCTTAAAGACGGAATTTGTCTGCTGAACCACTACCTTATCTGTAAGGTATGTCTCGGGGTTCATAAATATCACTTTGCTTTCTAACACTATGCCTAATAAGAAAAGCTTGTTGCTTGGGTTCCAAGCCACACATTTAACAGCTGCTTCAACATCAAAACTGCGCAAACAACGCCCAGTGCTGATCTCCCAAACTGAAAGAGAGAATTTTTTTTAATACTGTAATGCTCTTAAATATCTATCCCTGCCCATTCTCACAATAAAGTCTCGTCACAACACAGTATGTCTCATCTTACTCAATGTACAGAAATTACAAAACATTTCAACTTACTTTTAACAGTTTGGTCATCTGAACCAGAAGCAAGGAACTTGCCAAGAGGATGAATAGAGATGGATCTGATAATGGATCGATGGCCTCTGAAAATCAGTCCCTCCACAGTGGGGAATGGTCGCAGGTCCTGGGGCTTTGGTAACTCTGGTATAAGGTCCTAGTAAAATAAAACATAATTGTGTAATTTTTGGCTGTATAACAATCTTGAGTTCTATACTAAAATAAAATTCCTCTAAGTGTGAAATTCCATATACTGTACAGGCATGCTATATATCAAGGACTACCTGTAGGCTATATTGTGAATTTAAAGAGAATTTATGGTGGATTTATTATTATTTCTACATCAATGACCATCTCCCAGTCTCTGGAACAATGATACATAGACCCCTCCATGTAAAACTGCACCTTTCATGCCCAGTTGCTCTTTCACTCCACCTTTCCACCACATTCTCCATCTCCTCTGCCTTTTAACCTTAGTAACACAGAATACTTCCCATCCTCTTAATAGTCAAACCCTCTAAGAATTCCAACCATTATCTTCCAATCACCACATTATTCTGTTATTCACTTACGTTCTCAATCGCTGGTCAGTAGCTTTGGGTCTTATGATCCAGACACATGTTAATAGGAAACAAAGCTACAGGAGCAATCAAGTCTACTTCTGTCTTAGTTTTTTTTGTATGCTTACCAAAATTATTATACACCTACATCATTAAGCTTACCACTAATTCTTATTAGACATAAATATCACAATTTAATTCCTATAAAGTATAGTACAGAAGTAAGCCTTTAGTATAAAAAAATATGTGCAAAAAAGCCAACTGGTTTTTATTTTGAAAATAAATTTGTATTCAAGTAATATCGAAGAAAATTAATGCGGCAATATAAATAAAAAAGCCATACCTTGGCACTTGCAGTAACCCTCATTACTTGTTGCCGAGGTGCACAATACAAGTCAAGACAACGTTCCCAGCGATCCTGAAACAATACCATTATATTACATAACACGTAATGCAGTCATAGTTCTTTCAATAAAAAAGTGTTCGGTACATATATTCTTACAAACAAGAATGGGAATCAATGTGTGTTCATAAAAAAAGGGAAGATGTGTTTAATCCTATTTAATCTAAGATTCCCTACAGGATGACAGTGATAAGCTGTTTCATAGAATAGTATATGGGAAGTGAATGTGGTTTTACCCTCAATGACAAGTTTCGACCCCCAGATGCATGGATTTCAACCACCTAAAAATCTGCAAATACTAGAGGTCAAGGGTTTCGAATGGAGAATTGGTATACTGTACATTTATGAAATCGTGAATACGGGAAAATTAGCTAATAGTTAGGGTCTTCTGTACAATGCAACACTTATGTCATCTCTCTGTGTATACTGTACTAGGGTTAGCCATCAGTCATTCCTACTAATACTATCACATACGAAATACCTTTGATACACAGTAACTATTTAATTTACTGTACTGTACTTACTTTAACAAATGATTTCCATCCAGGAACTCTACGAAGGCAATCAGGAGGTTCTGCACCAAGCGGTAAATACTCTATCGGAGGATTATATGATTCTCCATGGCCTGAAATAAATAAGAGTAAAACATCACAAAGAAAATACCTACTGCATTTTACAGCTATAACACACATTGCCGACTCCACCAGCATTTCATTAGTACAGTAGCAATAAATATGTAAAGGATAAAGATAAACGAGGCAATTGTCTGTTAACTAAGGCAGTAGCCACATGTACAGCCAGACCTCTTATAATGGAGCCTTGTCTAACATATTTTCACTCGTATATGAAAAAATGGGAAATTTGTAAGTACCTTTGAGAAAGAAAACTGACAAGAAATAATTCATGAAACATAAAAGAACCAATGAACATATCTGCAACCATCTTCATTTACATCCTCTAAGTGTCATGTTTATTTAAATGAACATGAAATAAGCAAATATTACTAACCTGGTAATCTGATCTTTGGTGCTGGTAAATGATTGCTTATTCCCCGTTTCGTTCTTTCTGCATCAGACCATAAATTGTAATACCTATATCTTTCTTCCTTTTTCTTAGTATATTGAATAAGGCCTCTTCTTATCTGTTCAGCTCTCTTAGCAACATATGTAGCTTCATACTGTAAATAACAAGGAAGATATACAGTACTTCTAAAATAGTCCATGTATAAATAGTATCAGTAAAACCAGAATATTGAAACAAAAGATATTTGGAATACCAGGTCATAGGATTTTAGAAGGGAAATACGTTAGCTTCTTATTTTACTGGACCAATAAAAAATAAATATGGCAGTACAGTAACTATCTCCTATATTCATCCATATTATTCATCAAGCACAAACCTTGGGGGGAACAAAGGATTTCTTGGACTCTGTACGACCCGTCAAGGGCATTTCCATGACTTCGTGAGTGAAATGATCGACCCAGGGAGCATAGTAATCATAGTCAGCGCTTGGCACTCTATTGGTCATGAGACTTTTAACAGTTGCCAGATCTTCATCACTTAGTCGAACATCTTGACCAGTCTGCTTATCAAAGACGGTACGGCTGTTGAAATAGATCAGGTGTTATTATACTTATATTTCTACTTTAGGGCCAGGGCCAGTAATCCTAGAAAGGTAACATTTTTAACATTAACTGTATCAATAAATACTTACTCAAAGTCAGGATTCTCTAATCTGTTCAGGAAATTGTCCAGAGTATCACCTCGTTTTGGTTTGATGATCTGCTTTCCTTCTAGGTCATAGCCCAAGTGTGGGTATTCATCATACCACTTGACAGGTACATTTCCTGTGGGGGAGAAGAAATGTTATATTGTACAAGTACACTTTAAATTGACTTATCCTGAGATAAGGGATTAAAAACAATGGTCTAGCTGCTGCTATTAAATACCAAGAGACTTATATTTAAAGAATGCCAGCTACTATACACACAGTAAAAAGTACCGCACGGATTACGTGTGAAACAATATGACACCACGGACGAGGGAGAGAGGAATATTTGTAATGGTCCTGTGTTATGGTGGTAGTCTTGCTGTCCTTGCCTGAGGGTGTCCTTACATATCTGTTGCCCTACCACAGGCATGTATACCAACTCTCCCAGCACATCAGATATGTATGGACCATTACGGAAGTCAACAGACCCACCTCAGCGCGATACATTTTTTTACTGTGTGTACCAGATGTAAGTGCAGGGTACACATAGGTATGGTAGCACTTTACTAACCTATTGTATTCCTGAGGTCTTCTTCATCTGATGAGTCTTCTGCATATTCATCTGGTTTCCCCAAATCCTGGCTACTATTTTGGTTTTCTTGTTTGCTGGCAACATTATCTGCTTTTGTGGTTTGTAATCGTAATCCTGAAAGCTTCCCAGATAAGTTCTTTTTACTTTTTGAAATCTTTAGTTTTTCTTGGGAAGGATCGTCAATGCCACTGTCTCCATCACCTTTTGCATCTACTTTTACCTTTGTTTTATTTTCTGTTTCATTTTTGTCATCATTATCATCTTCCCTCTCCTCGTTATCATCTTTCTCCTCCTCTTCGTCATCATCTTCCCCCTCCTCTTCATTATCATCAAATGTATAATCTCCATCAAGACTGTCTACTTCACCATCATCACTTTCCTCAGCTTCATCGCCACTAACATCTTCAATATCATCATCATCTATATCGCTACCCTCAGAATTAGATGAGTCCCCATCATCATCTGTGTTGATGTTGACCATATAATTGACCTGAAAGAAAATAAATCAATATTAATGATCATCTCTACTTCAAGCTATGCCATCATCACCTTCAATATACAAACCCAGTGAAATATTAGGCTTCTGAGAAAAATTAAGGCTCATGGTATCGAGGGGAAAGTTTTAAATTGGATAAAATCATGGCTCACCGATAGAACGCAGAGGGTCAGCATAGATGGTGTTAAATCTGAGTGGGGCCGTGTAACCAGAGGGGTTCCCCAGGGGTCAGTACATTACTAGGCCCACTCTTGTTCATAATCTACATAAACGATCTAGATACTGGGATCAGCAGTGACATAAGCAAGTTTGCGGATGACACCAAAATAGGGCGGCAAATTAATTCAGGGCAGGATGCAAATGCATTACAGGAGGATCTAAATAAACTGCAGGGGTGGTCTGAAAAACGGCAAATGAAATTCAACGCCAGCAAGTGCAGCGTACTTAATATTGGAAGAACAAATTCTTATAATGTATACAGCCTTAACAACATCAACAAGAGAAGTCGACTTGTGAAAGAGACCTAGGGGTACTTATGAAGCCCGGACCCTCGGCCTAAAACACAGTCTTAATTTTGAAATAAAACAGAAAAGAGTATTGGGTTTTATATCTAGAAGTGTAAGTAACAAGAGTGCAGAGGTCTTATTGCAACTATATCTTGCGCTAGTCAGGCCGCACCTCGATTATGCGGTTCAGCTCTGGTGCCCCTATTATAGAATGGATGTAAATTCACTAGAGTCGGTGCAGCGAAGAATGACAAAAATGATTCCGGGACTTAGAAACCTTCCATTTCAGGATAGGTTAAAGAAACTTAACTTGCATTCCCTAGAAAGACGAAGAGTGCGGGGAGATATGATAGAAGTATTTAAGTGGGTGAAAGGAATCAATAAAGGGGATATAGATAAAGTTCTTATAATATCCGAGCAGGATAGGACTCGGAGCAACGGATTCAAGTTGGATAAGTTTAGGTTTAGGAAGGAGATAGGAAGAAACTAGTTCACAAATAGGGTGGTGGACGAGAGGAACAAGCTTAGCAACTTTGTAGTAAGTGCGGGAACTCTGGAAAGTTTCAAAAGGAGGCTAGATAGATTCATGGATGATAGAGAGTGGTAGTAACTCTCGACAGAAGCTGCCATGCACAGGCCAACCGGCCTATTGCAGACTCCTTATTTTTTTATGTTCTTATGTTCTAAAACACACAGGATCACCTGAAGGTTGCCCCCGCCCCCCCCCCCCCAACTTTTCTCAACTGATGACAAAACACCATAACACTGCCTAGGGGGACTGAGTTAGGTTAAGATAGCATTGTGGTGGTTAATCTTAGTGTGCGGCTCTTGTCCGACGGTAAAGCTACGAAAACAACGGGCCAAGTATGTACATCACCAAGGACACCCCTTTAAACTGTGGGACGAATTCACTAGTGGACGAAGATCTACTAAAAATTTGTTATGGGTCGTTTCACATCACGTGACTGTTTATCAGCAATGTTTGTATTTTTATGTTGCTTTTTATCATTCACGCAAAAATAAATGTGTAAAAATGTGTTCGTTAACCTAAGTGGTCCGAGTTGGCTATCTGAGATGGTTCGAGTTGGTATTTGATGGTCAGAGTAGGATATGGGCCGAGTTGGACTGTATTCAGGTCAGGTCAGGTTTGGTTGGTATTTTATTTGTGATTTACAAAAAAAAAATCCAACTTTTCCCTTAAGATTGTTGGGGGGAATCTAAAAAACTAGTGATTGCCGACAGAAATTAATATAAAATTCGTTAGAAACTCATGAAATACCATAGGAAAATCATGTTTTTAATTTCCAAAGAAAGAACGGTGCTTTTCTAAAATTTACCCAGTTAGCTACAGTAAAAAGAATGACTAGCAAGAGAATTAATCAACATTTTCACTGGCCTCCTCCCGTCGGCCTGGCCATACTATGGGTGGAGCTTTTGGTTGAGTTTGTGGACACGAACTTGCTATTTTAGACTGTTAATCTTAACAGTGAGACTCAAGTAATTAAGTTTGTATTTTCCTGATAAAAGAAAATTCCAGAACTATTACAATAATCTGCCAGTATGTCGAGTTCTAACGGGTAGATGGTTTTGTCTAATAGAAGCAATAATAACGCTCAAATAACATAAATTTATCTTTCTGCTTACTTTTTCTCCATCTCCACTTAGTATGTCCTTTTGTGAGTCCGATATTTCTTCACGTTTTCTCTTCTCACTCATTTTGACTACCACCACCCAGCTCAGGCAACGTCACACGTGTTGTGCTGCTTCACCATAACATCCCCACATGGCTACCTACCTACTATATTTTACTGGTGTTATTGATTATTTTAGATTTGTTTTATAATTTCTCAAAGTCAATAACTCAATTTGTTTTTAAATAGGATTTCAGTGTAGAGTGCTTCTAAATTAAAAAAAAAAATACTTATCAGTTCCATTTGCAGCTTTAGCCCCCATGATGTTATTTCAATGGAAAATAGTATTAGAAGATACATTTTAATAACTTAAAAAGCTATGTTTGCTTATGTTTTAGCAGGGAAGATGGAGTTGGTCGATATATATTTTTAAATTATCAAACTTTGCAACGTGAAAAGGGGTACCGAGACCATTTGGACCCTCTTAACAAAAGTGAAGAACACTTTTTGAAGTTTACTTATTTCCCGAAAGCGAATTTTTGAAGCTGTTTGAGATTTGGCACCTTCTAAGTCTCTAGCATATCTCGAGGACCAGACGGGGTGGGTTACAGTTGGCCATGGATGGTGAGAATGAGTTATGGGACTGAGGTATGCTAGGCCTTCTTGTTTCCATGCCCTTACAATGTCTCTCTTCAAAATGATGGTTTTCCGGCATCTTCGTGGTGTAGATTAATAGTCTTTTTCTCTCTTATTTTTAATTTATTTTTACTCTTATTCCCCCCCTCCCCCCGTTGTGGGTCGATGATCAGTACCCATTGCTTTTTTTTACTTTTATCCTCTTATACTGATCGGCTTGTTAGCGCAGGCGTCGGTCTGACTCTTTTCCTTTATATTCTTCACCAAAAGGTCGGCTGCTTGCAGACGTCGGTCACGTCTCTGTCACGCACTGTTGGCAAAGGCATGCACCGGCTCCTGAATGTACCTGAACCCGCTCCAGTGTTGGTCAAGTCTTCTCTTGAAAAGAGCTCACACTCGGTGCCGTCTACACTCTCTGGTAGATGTTCCAGAGTTTACAACCCTCCTCGAAAAAGTTTGCCCTCACGGTTTTCCGGACTTGGAAAAAATAAAAGCGATGCGAGAGCCATATCTTTATTTAATTGTATTTCCACCATTTGTCTAGCTTTTGTCCTGACTGGTCGAAGCTGAACAAAGTAAATTACACGTACAGTAAAAGTAATCTCCAATGTTTCTGGCAGACGATAGACGGTTATTTTACCTGTTCCCAATTGAGTTTGGTTATCAGACCAGCACAATCTTTCATGAAACAATGCCTAACGTAACCTAACCTTACCATTCTTTTGGAATCTTTTAATAAGTCATGAACTGAGATCATTATAACTTTTCCGTAGCATGTTTCACTTTCTTTAGGGATTTAAAAGCCCCATAAATACGCAAAATGTCTTCATCCAGTCAATGTTTGCTAGAACAGAATTCAGTAATCTAAGACGTGTGGGGTTTTCACTAACTGACTTCTTTTAATTGAATATCTAAACTGGTAAGGATGGGTGAGTTAGGAAAATATAGCTTCTAATTTACTGAAAAAAATGGAAGGGATAACCTGAAAATTAGCCCTTAGTTTAAATTCACCTGGTGATTAAAGACCCTAATGCTACCTGGGGTTTGGTTGTGTTAGATTAATATTAGGGTAGTTAATCTTAAGATGAAATAAGCCGAGGTGTTAATCATAAGGTGATTTGTGAAAAATTATGTGGCCTCTGTGCATTTGGCACCCCATTGGCACTTTAGAGGAAAATTAATGGCAGTGTTTATGGTAGTGAGAGTGAGAAAAAGAAAAAAGTCATATTGTGAGAACTTTTGAAGAAAAAGTCAAGATATTGTACTTAATAAGGAGTGTTGTATCAAACTCTGAAATTGTCAATTGGTTATTGTACACAAAGGTCAGCATTTCATGACCATAATATCTTGGCCATCTCTTCCCCGTTAGTGTCTAAAGTGATGTTAATGTTCTTATATTATTTCCTCAAAAGAAGTTGTCCTTTCAAACATGTGAAATGACTTATTGAGTTACTAAATATAAATTCAAGAGAAGGGTAACAAAAATATGCATACACTATATTTGTCTTGTATTTATTGGAGCTTCTTTAACTTCATCTCAAGAATTTCTCTCTTCACACCTGATTGAAAGAAAAAAAAATCAGTGCCAAAAAAATGTAACCATCTCTGCAAATAACATATGTTACAATTCAAGGTGTACATTTACTATATATATATAAATTGTGACCAAGTCCCAGGTCGCTGATCTGACTTTCTGCCTCATTTACACACAATTGCAGGGTCTCAATTGTTTCTCTTACTATTGACAACACAACATACATACTGGTCCTGTATATCATTTCCCACTCTTGATTTATTTTTTTCATTTTTGTATTTATTTATGGTTGTCATCATTATTATTTATAGTATTATTATATAATTATTATTATTATTACTGTATTATTATATTTTCGCCCCCCAGGCCGTGATGTGGGTGGGCAGGCGGGTGGGGCGAATCTAAAAATAGCGTCGCGCCGGACACACTCCGCGTAATGGGGTTCATGCACAGCGTAATGTGAGCACGTTAGGTTCTGGCAGGGCACCGCGTTAACGTGGAAACGCGGAATGTGGGACCACGTAAAGCGAGGGTTGACTGTATATATATATATATATATATATATATATATATATATATATATATATATATATATATATATATATATATATATATATATATAACCATTCCCTATACTCAACCATTCAGCACTAACCAATATCCATACAAACATATTTACATGCACAGTAATACACATGTACAAAAGGATGCACAGTTGTGTACATACACACACACACACACACACACACACACAAATATATGCAGATGAACACAAACACCAGTACAGTAGCATTTGTCTTGGGGGATGAATATAAACAGTCATATTAACAACACATGTAACACAAACAAGAAACAGTAATTCTCAAAAATATACATCATACAGTTTCTCTCTCCCATCCTCTGGCACTTACATGGGTAATATTTTCTATGGTTATGTACAGTAACTGAATAAGCAACACTATGGGTATATTGTACGTGGTATATGTAATTACAGTATAATGAGGTTAAACAAAAAAAAATACAAATTTATAGCTTCACACTGCAATCACTCTATGCACATACATGTACAGTAATGTCATTAGTGTCCCTTGAATCATTCTGTGTCATTTGTTTAGGTATCATTGTAAAGGTTAAAATATCTGCTTCACTATAACATTATATGCACAGTACACTGTATTTTAATATTTACTGTACATATCTGTATTATCTCTCCCTATAATTTATGCAACACATGGGAAGTATAATGGACGGATGGACGTACCTTAGAACTTTGTGAGCAGTGAACAAGTGCTTTGGACCATTGCAAGGTAGAATATAAATGGTTTTGTGACATTTATATTGCCCTAACTGCTGACAATTAACATATTCTTTCAGAATAATTTTTTCTTAAATTGAGCTTATGGTCTAAATTAGAGGCTGGCATCTATCGGGAGAGTGTACTGTATTTGAGTTAAAATTTGCATTAAAATCATCTCTTATTGCATAACTCTAATTAAAATATCTACATGGTCTAGTCCTTATGTAAATGACCAGATATAAACAAACTTCATGGGGGTAACGTACCTTCAGTGTTTGTAACAGTTGTCTGGATGTTCAATATATCTTGGCATTTTACTAGATCAATGAACTGCAATGTTCCTCCACCAACACCAAAATAATGACTCTTTGCTGCAAGTAATCTTGTACAAAGTTAAGGAACTTTCTTGGTTGTAAATGTAAGAGATATTGTAACATATACTGTACAGTGATTACTTTTGTATCTCATGGCTACACTTCAACTCTATCTTATTCAATAATGTGCCTAAAGTGTATGCTAATATTTAAGAAACCAGTCTATTCATAAAATAAAAGCTCTAAATAAGCGTAACAAAGGAATCATATGAGAGATGTCTGAAAAGTTCAGGACTGACTTGGCAACTGAAAGCCAAGTGAGTCTGGGTTCTGAATTATTGCCTGCTTGGTTGTAAGATGCAGGCACATTTGGGTGCTGACTTACAACTCTTGCCCATGGCCAATTGGTCCATCAGTGCTACTACTATTTATAAGGTGTAACAATAGTTTTACTGGATTTCTGGGCTATAGTCCATTACAGTATTCTCACAAGTGAAGGGTTCTTAGGATTAAGGGATTAAATCTGCTAGTTTGTCAATACTGTACAAGGACATGATTCACCCAATCCAATGTTCCATAAAAATTACAGAGTTTGACTGAATCTGGCAAATGGGAGTAAGCATGCAGGAAGACCCATAATGCAATAGCTAGTGGAACATACAGAATACACATTCAAATATGTTGTAATATAAGATACCCATACTGTACTATACTACAAAAGCCATTTTCTCAGCCCAGGAGAGAAAATTCTACTTCATACATTAAATATATACAGTACTGTAATTTGGATATCTTTAATAAAATACTTTGGAATAAATTTTTGCATAGCCCTAACAGTCAAAAGGATACATAACACCATCTTGCTTCAGGGAATTAGTCATAAGGTTTAGCAGCTTTTCATGGCAATTTGGGTTGTAGATAGTTTCTGATGTCAAAATTATATCAAATTTATATTCTTGACTTTCATCTTTATTTCTACTTGTTTGGTCATCGTTGGTGAGCTGCTCACTGTTTTGTTTCTTTGTTAAGAGTTTGTAAAAATCACCCCAATCACCAGAGAAGAATGAGGCTTTTGATGTGATATCTGTAACTAGGTCTCTTGAAGTAGTGAGATATTCTGTGGCATTGTTTATATTATTGATTGATGATTCATTAGCTATATTCAATATAACATTGGGTATAGTGATGAAATTAATGACTTCTTCATTCTGGAAAAGATGAAGTACCCGTACAGTATATATACCGTACAGTACTATACACAACGTATAATGATAAACATTTCACGCAACATTCAATAGCTCTGCAGTACCAACTAGTTAACAAATTACCCAATTAAGGCTACCTTTTAGAGTACACAGCATGTTTAGTCACTCTTACTACCTCTGACAACAAATTCTCTTATTTAATACAATCTCAAGAGTTATGCTAAGTTTCTGCTAAACTACAGTCCTTTCAAAGAAGGAAAAAATCTTACTATGTAATTATAAATATATGCATTAGCAGATGATAAAATAAGTCTAGAATTACATAATCCTGGAGAGTGATGTGTGCACCGTGTATAGCAGCATACAGAGCTGGCAGCGCAGCTCCACAACCCACCTCCAGCACCCTGTAATGTAAACCAAATTACTGTACCTACCCTTCTCTTAAGGTCAATGATATATTGTACATATACAAGTACTGTACCTTGGTAGGTTTGTGAGAAAATATCAGAGACATGATACTGGAAACACAAATAATTTTTTCTTTATTCGGAGTCATATTCTCATCTTATTTATTTATTTTTCTGATTATGTTAAAGCCAAAACAATAACGAAGTCAGCGATGTATAAATAATGAAAAAAAAAATCTTGTGGGATAAATTGGCCACAGAACAATGACCAGATCATGTGAGTGGTCCCATATGACTTTTGTCGTGGTAGTGGAAACTTCCAATGAAAGAGAAGGACAAAATAATAATAATAATATCATCACTTATCCTCATAGTGTATAGCCCTGAGACTTTTCTCCCTGTGGTGAGAGTGAGAAAAAAATTACTTTCAAGGATGCTAGCTCCAACCCTCCACTGAAAAATTTCTTGTTGGATCTTAAGAAAAGTGGGACTGGTTCTAGAAGTAGTGTCATTTCCATATTAGCCAATGGCCAATTTACAAAAGGAAGATCAGCAAGGATCACTAAATAGCTTCGAAGAAAGTTTAAAAGTAATGGTATCTTTCTGAGTCTAGTTAGAGTAGATTTAAATACTAATGTGTATGTGCAAATAAATCTCGAATTTGAAAATTCCAAAAAAATCTTAACTTTTTTATCACTATGTTCTCTCTCATTCCCTTTAAGCCCATTTCATCAAGTTTCTCCACTACCTCTTCAGTTTTATCTGCTATCAACATTAAGTTGTCAACATACAACAGCTTCAGCAACAGTGCCTCTTAACACCACAATAAACAGAAGGGGACTCAAGACACCCTTGATGGACCCCTACTTTCACCTCAAATTCCTCACTTTCATTCCATTTACTGTTACAATGTTCTTTAGCCCTCGTAAAATACTATACAGTATAGATGAATGAATAATGAGAAACTGATAAGTAACTAGGCAGATGGATAAACAGACTTATCTTCATTCAGTATTAGCTATATATTATTTGGGCTACAAATTATAGTCTAACATAACAATACAACAACCAATTATATTTAATAAATGAAAGTTATCTTAGAATGCCTCCATAACTAAGTTTATAAAATATTTACCTGCATCCTTTCATCTTGATACCTGAGGCTGCAAAATAGTGAAGAAGGTCCCATGTGCATTCCCACACTTTCAGGCCTCCTGTTTAATGCAAGAAAAAAAAATAGATATGATGATCCTACCAATAACTTCCCATTCCCACATATGACATGCAAGAAGTCTTACAAGAAACTTTAATAAAACTATTTACAGTACTCTATCTTCAACTTATACTTAGGCAAAGTCATTATTTTCAGGCAGATGCCTCATGTCCAGATTGCTACTGTCAGGGTGGTATCTAGTCACAATGATCTTGGCTTCTAAATCTCTTATTACAGGCCGATTGCTCCAAAATTTATCCAAGCGGTACTCAAAGGCTTGGGTGGATGGTGCACTTATGGTATGCTCTTTGAGAGTGAGTTCCCTGTGTCCACACTCCTTTACTTAAATGTTTGCTGGTAGTTCACGCTTAACATAGATACGTTTCCCAAAATTCTCATATTGCACGAATTCATGCTAAACAAATAAAAGAAAGAAAAAATTTGAGAACCATGTAAAAGATGAGAGCTGCATGTTGGAAGGAAAGAGAGACCATGCATGACCAGGGTATGGAACTGTAGCTCCAAATATATAGTACAGTACTGTACTTGCTTGTGGTATCAATCTTCAATTGCAGCACTAATCCATTTCTTGCTTCTTGTTCCTTGAGAAGTTGATGCTACCTGTACTTGATTTAATTCTTGTGTATTCATCTTGGTATTCTGTATTCACAGTTACTATTAACATAAAATTTTTCAGTAAATCATGATGCAATCAGGAGCCATAGTATGAGAAAGTGAATCATGGGTTCCATTTATCTTTAATGCATTATGAGTCACTTTGTTTACCAAGTTGATTCAACTGTGAGATTTCTATTTCACTGATCTGCTTTAACATAAAAATTTGCATGGTGTCATATTTCTAGATAAGACCTTGCTGTATAATTTTCAATTTGAGCCTCTATGTTCAAATTATTGTAATTTGTTTTTCCTCTCATTATGAGACAATAAGGGAGAGTAATGGATACAAAGTTATGTTTGGATGTGTGCAGAAACCAGCGAGAGTCAATGCTTGTACATAATCATTTGGTCTAACCTTCATACACTGCTGGCACAAGGTCACTGTGGTCAGTAAGTGCTGTTGATAAATTGGTCGAAACTCTCAATTTCTTTAATCTTTCCACAGCAGAATTCATGTTCAGATACTTTATCTGCAAAGTAGATACAGTTAATTAATTCAGTTATAACAGTTTGACTTGAGAATATGGTGCTTGATAAAAGTTCAACTCTCAAGTACTGTATTATAGTATAGTATAGTATTGTAAAATAAACCAGGACTTAACATTATTAAGGGGAGTTGTGTTAGTTCCTTTTACAGCATGAGGTTCAGGGGTAAAACATTAGGAAGATCTGCAATTTTCAAGAAAATCTGTCCATTTAAATAACATGGGTACTGTATTGTTCATGTAATTTCAATGAAAATTTGTTCATGCCTCTTAACCATCTCTGCTGTTGAGAGTGATTTCTTGTTTTTATCCCTACAGCATATCACATTTTCAGACAGAAAGAAGCTTCATGTACAGTCCATGAACTCTCTTGAACACGCCCTTATATGCTTCTTATGTTGCAAAAATTATGGCTAGAAAAGGATAAACAAAATTAATAAATACAGTACAGTACAGTACCACACAAGTTAAATTACGTGTTACAGACCCAAATTCGAATAAGTAGGGGAAGGGTTCGTAATACCCAAAACAGGGTGGTAACTTAGGAAATTCATACAATTGAATTTTCGTATTTTGAATGTTTGTATGGCGAGGGATACTTGTACAGTATATAAATAGCTATACCGTATTATACGAATATAAGCAGCACTTTTTTTTTTAATTGGCAAAAGTGGGGCTACAGCTTACTATCAGATACAAATTTTAGAAACACCTTAAAATATCTGTAAGTACTATCAGTACCACCATTACTGTATACTGTACTATCATCACTCGACAAGTTGTTTACCCATGAGTTTGTTTACTTTAGGTTCCTAAAATGCTTTTGAAGTGGCATATTCCGATAAATATTCTTTAGGTCAACAGAGGTCATCAAAAAATTCCTCTTCATCGTCACTTTACCTGTTCATGCATGAACATCCTAAATCTAGTATAATTTATTTTGAAAATCACCCACTGAATGTTTAAAATACAGTAATTAATTTTAAGGCCTCTGATGATTAATGAACATGGAAAAGCCTTGTCCTACATTGATTTGGGCCTTATGGATGAAAAATGTTTTTCCCTAACAATCGAGCCACTAAATTCTTTAGGATATCTGAATCATATTGTTTTGCAACAAAGTTATTGTGTGACTTCACCATCTTCTATCTAAAACTATTTTAAGGGGTCATTGTTCCTGTTTTCAGAATCCTCTTAAAAGACTCAACCTATCACCTACTGGAAGATCCCTGGCTCTTGTGGTCATGATAACCCTCACCAGAAAGAGAAAAGGAACCTAAGTCACATAAGGAGCACAGAACTGAAGTAGGACAAGTGCTGGTATGCCCAAAAACAACATGTATGATGTCTTTCACTAGTATCAATTAAATCTGCACTAACAATGTTACAATCTGCCACTTGAATCACTCTAATATCTTCACTGATTCCAAAGTTAAGGTAATTTGAAGGTTTGCAAACTTTAACTGGTTTTTCTCTGTTTTTCATTTATGGCACTTGTCATACTTGGATATGTCATCTCTAGTCACAATAATTAAAGTTTGTGTACAAAGAGCAAAACATAACTAAGGAAGACTAGCTAATTGTGGGTTGTCATAAACAAAAACTCACTTCTGTTTGATCTATTGTAACTGCTTCAATTACAGTGTCTTCAGAAAGTGATTGGAGATGTGTTGGCAATACTTCATGTTTCTGTGCTGGTATCCAACACTGTGAATTTAGCTCTGATTCAGATGCTACAGCAGGAGAATCTGCAATATAGTATAACACATTATGGCGTGAGCAATCATTAAAATGTGCAAAAAGATTACGGTATGTGAAACAAAATGAAGAACTGAATATGAAATATTTTCTGACTGAGCCTGGAAAGTATGACATATATGCCTGCAATTGTCTGTGGGTTAGATTAGGTTTCAACAGTGATTTGGAACTTGAAATTCTTATGAGAATAGTTTTGTTTTGTTTATTCTCATAACAAAAAGAAGCCACAGCCATTTAAAGAATATTTACCATAATTTCTTGTTGCCTTACCATTCTGCTCCTCTGTTTCTAAATTAAAGTTGAACTTAAACATGATGCATTTGTTTCTGCATGTACTGGTTTACCTGAAACATAAATTTATACTCAATGTAATATTAGACACCAATGAACAATAAACTTGTCTCAATGTACAGGAAACAGACAATTCTCATTACAGTACTTATGGCAGACCCATAGCCAGGCATTTTTGTGCCCTGGGCAAGTTTCACAAACGGTTTTAATAAAGATAAAGATGATGATATTAGATGATAATAATAATAATCATAATAAAATTCACTCAATAAAATTGTCATACAGGTTTATAATTGGATAAGCATGTTTATAAACTATACAGTTCAGTATGAATAAAGACAATGTATAGGTACAGTGCAGTACAGTATAACTGTACAGTGTCAAGCCAGTGCAGATAAACAACAATGCTAAACTGAACAGTAAGGCAATGTGACCAGGGAGAGCCGACAAAGCTGTCAGGTGCTTATTTTTTCTTGATTTAGTGGCTGGGGAGGAAGGAAAAAATAAGATATGGAATTAATTGGAGAAGAACAAGAGGTTTGGGAGGAAATGGAGAGTTGCTTCAATGGAAGGACCAGTTGAGGGTGAAGAGATAGGAAGAGAACTGGGAGGGGGGTAGGATGATGAAAGAGGATAGGCTATGTAGTGAATATTTTGCCGTGACCGGCTAAGTTCCTACTAACGCTATTTTACTGAGAGTGCTCTCTGATTGGCTAAGCATTTTCTGTTTAATATGACGGGGTATCCGCCCCCCGACTAGGAAGTTAGGTAGGTTTCTGTTGGTTAAGTCAGGTTCTAGTAAATGTTGCCTCTTTTATAATATTAAGTTTCCATGCACAACAGAAATATGGCTAGGTATGTTTACAGCTACACAACAATTGACTCATGGCTAAATAAATGCCAAATGCTGCCAGTCACGGTCAAACATAGTTCTCGCGTTGTTTGCTAGAACTGCATGGTATTTTGTAACTTTAGTCCTATAATTCTTAATGATAAATCTGGCAACACATGTGAAACCTACAGAAAATTACAAGACAATTTTCTTATATGATATTTCAGTCGCAAATGCATAATAAAGAAGATATGGTGCTCGAAAGTTTTGGTTAGGAAATTAACCTTGACATTGCCATTATCAGGTGACCCGCTGTCATCTTCAGAAATCCAGTTGCTTATGTGCTGGACAGCTCTGCTCATGACCAATCACATAAAAGTAACATTTACTGTTAGGTTAGTTTAGGATGCATATTTTAGCAATGAAAATGTTTTTCCTATGTACTTTGCTGCTTTGAATGAATTTGACCTTCAAAACTGGCGAAAATCACCCGTTTGTGAGTTTCCTCCCTCTCAAAACCCCCGGTTCCCACGGGGGTCCCCAATTAGGGGTGGGGTAGGGTTGTCATAGCTAAAAAAAATTTGATTTGCGACAGTTTTGACATGGTCAAATTCATTCAAAACACAGCAAAATACATAGGAAAAATATATTTTTGAGATGCTAGAAGATTAAAGGAATAAAGTAATATTTACCTAATGGACAATTAGCCAATCAGAGCACATTCACGGTAAAATAGCGTTAGTAAGAACTTAGCCGGTCACGGCAAAATATCAACTGCCGATAAGCTATGGTAAGGAGGGGGAGGGGGGGGATTTGCAAACTGACTGAGAAGCGTTAGGGTTAGGCTAGCGTAGTCCAAACCATTATTATTTAATTATTATTTTTTTTTTTTTTACAGGGATTAGCCCACCCGGGAACAGGTCACTGACCCACATCGGAGCCTGAGGGGCAAAAATGTAATAATGATAATAATAATTACTGTATAATAAATATAATAATTCTAATAATTCATAGTAAATAAATAAAATAAAATATTAATGATAATAATAATAGTAACACTATTACTAATAATAAAGAACCATAAAGATAGAAGAATGAAAAAAAAGCTCAAAAGTGAGAAACAATATCTGTATGTTGTGAAGTCAATAGTAAGAGAAACAATTGGGACCCTGTAATTGTGTGTAAATGAGGCAGAAAGTCATATCAACAACCTGGGACTTGTCACAATTTTCGTGATGCCATATGGCAGCAGTGTCCACCGTTAGACAACACATTATGCTTCCAACAGATAAGCGAAGCTGTGTAAAACACCAAATAGAAAACGTCGTAAACATACTCTTTAGACTAAAATATTTCTCTAAAGTTTAATTGACTGCACTCAAGCGAGAAGCAGATCCACACCGCTTATGGCAGCATGTTTTGGTCGCTTCTCCTCGGGTAAACATGACGCAGAACCCGGATTTGTAATTACTGTATACTGTAATATGTTATCATGTATAGTTTCTCTTATTAGGAAAAGCAATAATAATAATAATAATTCAGTAAAATTACCATACAGATTTATAATTGAATAAACATGGATTAGTGCTGATGACACTATAATAAGGCGTGCAATTGAATCTGATGAAGACTCCGCAAAACTACAGGAAGATCTAAAAAAAAAATCGAATGGTCTGGAAAATGGCAGATGAAATTCAATGTGGACAAATGTAAAGTACTTAGTCTAGGAGATGTAAACAGAGAAACCAGATATCAGATGAACAACGATGTTATACAGAAATTCAAATGTGAGAAAGATTTAGGAGTAATGATAAGTACTCAGCTAAGTAGGAATCTTAAGCCAAGTAAACGATGTGCATTTGCTCGAAACAAGGCTAATAAACTACTTGGGTTCATACAAAGGAGTGTTAGTTACAAGACTAGAGAGGTCATTCTAAAACTATATCTTGCGCTTGTGAGACCTCACTTGGATTACGCAGTTAAATTCTGGTCACCGTATTGCAGAATGGATAAAGAATCCCTAGAAAGAATTCAGAGGAGAATGACAAGACTAATCCCGGGCATTAGGAACTTTGAGTACAGAGACAGGCTAAAGCATCTTAATTTGTACTCCCTCGATAGACGTAGAGTGTGGGTCGATATGATAGAGGTGTATAAATTAAAGTCAGGGCTAAACAAAGGGGACATTACAAAGGTACTCAAACTATCCTACCAGGAGCGAACTCGTAACAATGGTTTTAAATTAGACAAATTTAGATTTAGGTGCGAAATAGGAAAACATTGGTTTGGAAATAGAGTAATGGATGAATGGAACAAGTTACCAAACCTCATCATTAACTCGAATACGCTGGATAGCTTCAAACATAGGTTGGATGTATATATGAGCAATAGGGATTGGGTGTTAATGTGACTGCCCAGTATGGGCCAATAAGCCCGCTGCAGTTTCCTCCATTCTTATGTTCTTATATTCCTATATGTTAGTCAATGTGAAAATTTTCCGTTTCATTTTTGTTAGATTAGGTTATTCAACTGAGAACTGCAAAAATAAAATAAATTAAACTCCACAGTGAACCGAACCTGATCTAACCTAACCTAACCTATAGACAACATAATAATGTAAAACGGAACAGTTTCACGGGTATTTTACTGACTGCCTGATTTGACACATTGACAGTAACATAATTATTTACCTTATGGCTACGTACTAGAGGTGGCCATGGCGGCGGAAAGAGGCCATTGTTCTTGATCATTTTATCTAGGTCTTTTTTTTTCCCAACATTGTACTGTTCTTGATTCCACAGCTTCAGCTGGTAGACACTTCCATAGGTCTACCACCCTCTCTGTGAAAAAAAATATTTCCTAATATTTGTTTTGCTTGATAATTGGCGAGCTTGTAGTTATGTCTCGTGTTGATTTGTTAGCCCTAAGGCCTTCAGTCTACTGGGATAATCGAGGTGACATAGTTCCGGAATCATCTTAGTCGCTCTGTGTTGCACCTTTTCTAGGGATGTTAGATCCTTCTGGAGGTAGGGTTTCCATGCTCGTATACAGCAATCCAGACTGGGGCATTTTCCTATCTTTGTACTCAAAGGTACGCTTTATAATTCCCAAATCTCGATTTGCTTTCCTCGTTGCTACCCCGACTAACTGTTGCGCCGCTTTCAGTGAATGATCTAATCACAACCCCAAAATCTTTCTTCTTACCGACAGTAGCCAGGAAAGTGTTATTAACAGAAGAGTTTTTGTTTAGGGTTGTTGTATCCGTGAAAGGTCTTGCATTTCGTAATGTTAAAGAGTATTTGCCAGTCTCGAGACCATTTGAACAGCTGATGCAGGTCTTCCTGCATTGTTGCGAAGTCGTCTTGACTTGCTACCTTTCCAAATATCTTCGTGTCGTCCGACAATGAGGCTCGATGTCGTTTATGTAGATCACAAACAGGCTGGTCCAAGGATAGAGTCTTGTAGTACTCCACTGAGATTTTTTTTCATTAATAATGCACTCCATTTATTATCAATCTTTGTTGCCCGTCTTCGAGCCAGTTGTTAATTCATACCATAATCTTGCCTCTGATTCCATGTGCTTAGATCTTGGAGGTCAGCATAAATATAGATATACAGTGCACGTAGGCCGTGGGAGTATACAATTTCCTGTGTGCCGAGAGAGTGCAGGTAAACAGTGAGGTCATTTGACCAAGGATAGCCGACAGAGCTGTCAGGTGCTTATTTCCAGGAGGGTCCTTTTCTTAGGTCTGTAATCAGTAATAGTATTTTATGTCTACAAGAATAGTAGTGAAAGTTTTTAGATAAATTCAATTACTGTACGTTACGATTGGACTATCCAAGGCTGGCGGATCATTTCAACAATACAACATGTCGTGGTTAATAATATAGGAACTCACTCTCTTCTCTTGCTGGAGCTTCATCTGTTTTGTACTGTATTTTTTATTATTATTATTATTTATTTTTTTGCTTTGAATTGTTTAATACCATAACTTGTTTTGGTGTGAGCGATCGGTCACGTCTCTGTTACGCACTGTTGGCAAGTACTGGGCATGTACTGATTCCAGAATGTATCTGTACCTGCTCCAGTGTTGGTTAAATCTGGTTTTGAATGAGCTCACTCGGTGCCGTCGCAACGCTCTCTGGCAGATTGTACCAAAGTTCACAACCCTCACTCTGATGTGCACAAACAACTCTGAAGAGTGGATCGTTATCAATACTAAATGCATTAAGTAAAGAAAGAACTCATAAAACTAATGAACAGTCTAAATTGACAGAAGTAGGTTTACGACTTGCCTCTCTGGACCTTTTGGAAATCTGACGAAAGATGGATGGGCTTCTGTTGGTTATGGTGTTGTTGGAACAATTCATCCTGCATAACAATTGTATCCCACTGTAGATGGTTAAATAATTTGCACAGAACAAAACAGTGCAATCACCAAAATGTGCGTCTCCCTCCCTCCCTCCCTTTAATTTCTGCAGCCACTTGGCAGTGCCCACAGTCGGGGGTGAATAAGTTCGCCCATTGGAGTGAGCCATCCTCCTACAGCAGCCTTCATTTTTAGGTTCCTGTTTATTGCACGTCCTAAAATATAGTAATCATTTAGGGTTCTTGAATAAAAAACGGTCCGATAGTGTGTGTGTGTTTTAGCCTGTCAAAATAAAGTCAGTACTTATTTAAATGTGGGATAAATACATATTCATATTATGTATTCATCGTCACCTGAATTAATTAGATAATGGTCAAGGAAGTAATGGTCATCATTTCCGGTCACGTAGCAAATAACAGTAAGGTGTTCTCCCCGCGCCATCAACCAGTTTACACAGCCTAATGTGACCGGTGTTTGCAGGGCCGGATTAACCATGAGGCACTTGAGGCACTGGCCTCAGGCCCCCCGAGTCTAAGGGGCCCCCAAATCCAAACATTCTCAAAGTTGAAGCATATAAAACGATGTCCTAGCAACGTCTCAATTTTCTGTCTCTTATGAACATTGGATGTGTTATTTTGCAGAAGCTTAATATTGATGTAATCATTGATAAATTTTGGTATATTTTGTTCTTGATATATATATATATATATATATATATATATATATATATATATATATATATATATATATATATATATATATACACACACCTTGAGGGTAGGGAGCCCCAAGTTGATCTGTGCCTCAGGCCCCTATTAAGCTTAATCCGTTACTGGGTGTTTGAGACAGTTGAAGACTGTATATTCTCTTGTTGGTTAATTCGTCATTACACCAACATACTGTACATATATTCTTGTAATAATTATAGAAAGGAAACATTATGTGAATACCAAATAATCTGAAACAATTTAACTTAACAGCTGAAACTACAAGATAAGTTACTAGCGTTACAATGGTAACAGTGGTGAAGCTAACACAAGTTACAAACCTTCACACTAGTTACAAGTCTCCACTACAAGGTTACATGTATGTGTGTGTGCAATTACATTTATTTTATCATTATTCAGATAAATTTTCATTTACGTACATTGAAAGAAATCTGATGCTAATTCAGGCCAAAAACTTTTGAATATTTTGATTCAATGTTTTGAAATACACTTACCACTGATCATCCGTCCACATCATAAAGACCAGATTGTCAAGGATTTGTTTTTTTCCCTCGTGACTGGGGATCCAAGAACTTAAAGATGACGATTAAAATGTCGTCGAAATTACATGCGTTTTCTTACACCCAGTTAGTGGAAAGAATCCCCGTAAACAACTTAAAGATTCCGGAACTTGACTCATAACAGGATAAGTCTCCGTTTAAGTGTGAAAATAAAACCACTACAACACATGTGTTTATTTTAATTGGAAATACTTTAAACGAATAACAAAAAAAATATCTGTACACTATAATACAACAGTGATAGCCACGTGTACAAGGAGGTTACCAACACTGATAAAAATACAGCAATAGGGACTATCACGCCACCATTCACACTGGGGACGACGCCTGGGCACTCTACCTAGCCATGGGACCTACACATAGTTGGTGGGAGGGTGTTAGCGTGCTGGGGATGAGAGGTGGGGAAATTTGCAGGGGGACAGTAGGTGAAGAGCTTGCTATTGATGGTAGTTCGGGGTGTACTTGTGGTAATTAGGGATGCTCGCCGGGGGTAGCACGCACAGACAGTAGCCAGGAAGAGTACCCAGGAGTAATACTTTCTAATGGCACCAAGGAAAACATCGCCCAGGAATAGTTCCCTGGTCTTCATGTACCCAGTGAGGCTGGACTGGTTTATTTGTCAGTATCTCGCCGCCCCGGAAATCTTTACCGACTATTAAGTTATCTGATTGTCTACATGAGGATACTTAAGAGGACTGATACGCCGAGTGCTTCATGGAACAGTCACAAAGATCCAAGTAATTGTGTTTATTCGTAAAGTCTTCTATCCAAGCGCCTGCAGGACACGAAAAGTCAACCTGCACAGATGCCATGGAAACGAGACTAGAAAAGAATGATTATTGTAGTAATGTTCAAGAGAGCATTGCTAATGTTACTGAGGAGTGAGAAATTTGCTGAGAGATTTAAGAGACAGATAAGTAATAGTTGGATGTTTAGAAATTATTGAAGTCGAGGAAACCATTGCCAAGGGGATCACCGAGCCAGGGGTAGGTTCTGGGGCATTCCATGCAGGTGTAGAGGAACATCTCCTGTTCGTTGGGGAAGATGCGAGGTACCTTTTTGTTGCAAGGGTTGGGCAGGGAGCAGTATGGCTGACCCTTTACATCGCACTTACCCTTCCATTCTTGGAAGTCTTTTATTGCGGCGATCTCAGTTGGGGCTTCCATCCAGTTGATGACTTGTTGCATGGTGACAAAGTAGTAATCTCCGGCCTCGGCAGTTTCTCTCACCCACTTTACTAACACCTTGAGGAAGTCACGACGAGTCTCGAAGTAGGCAGATGTGAATTGAAGACCGAGAGGGGCACGGTTGGTTCGGAAGTGGCGGGCGAGGTTGTTGTCGAGGAACCTGCGGAATTGGTTGGGGGTCTGGAGGTTGGCGCACTGGTCCACGAAGTGACAACCAGTTAGTTTCTCGTCGAACTGTGGGTCGTCACGACGGTCAAGCTCATTGACCACCATCTCCCACACAGTGAAGTTCTGGGAGGGGCAGTTCTGGTCAGTACCCAGACACTTGTGGGGCATACGATGCATGAGGGTGTAGGGCCACAGGGGCAGGCGGCCCATGGGGGCAGAAATGGACGAGTCATACAAGAAACCCCAGTCAACCATCATGCGGAATTGTTTGTTGCCACCAACTCGCTGCTTGGGAACACGCAGTCCCAAGATCTCGTTGGCAGAGATATTAGCGAATTTTTCGACGATGATACGAGCACCATCCATCTCTGACTCATAGTCGAGGGAGGAAAGGCCACTCCAGTAGTTTGGGTTGTCGTTATTGGTGATGGAGCTGACGCCGATCTCATGTCCTACACGATGCAGCTCCTGGACAGCCGAGTAGTTAGTAAAGGCATGGGAGACGAAGAAGGTGCCCTTGGGAGTACATTCGTTGCCCTTGTGCTTGACGGTATCTTTGAAGATGTCTTGGAAGATGCGGAAGTTCCGCTCGTTGATGGCGCCGGTGAAAGTGATGGTGATCATCTGGGGAGTTTGGTCCACGGTGAGGCCACCAGGGATGAGGGTGCCGTCGACGGAGCAGAAGCAGCCTTGATCCCACTGGCAGGTGCGAGGGTCACACACGTCAGCGCGGTTGGGATCCTTGTCGGGGGCTGTTGGGATACCACACAAGTTTAGTGAGACGAGAGAGAGAGAGGGGGGTGGGGGAGATAAATAGATTATAATATGTACAATTAAAGACAAAAGTCGTGTCGCTGGTTTGTCCGAAGATTAAATATAACTCGTGAAACATTATGAGCGTCCCCTACCACAAGGCAGAACGCACCAAAAGTTTAGCCCTACGGCATATGTTTTCACCAAATTTCACGACACGACTTTTGTCTTTCATTGTACACAATCATTAGTGACCCTGAAGGTGCAAAAGAAAATCGTCATGCTTTAGCTAAATCAGATATTAAAAAGTGGCGTTCTATAATGAAGGGGTTAAGCTGATCTAATTTAAGACTAAGCAGAGCAGTACAGGAATTTACACCAAAACTAACCTAATCAACGTAAGACATCGTAACACTAATCTTAACCTAATCTAACATAACCAACATCCAGCAGGCGGTAGAATAGATCTTAAAGTGTGCAACGGTTAACACCTTATTCAATTTGGGCAGTTCTGTACAGTGTGTAAAAGTTAACCACAGTACAATAACTGACAGGCTACCTAAGCTAACCTTACATAAGTAGTGAGGATATACTAATTAACATCTAGGTGACGTACACTGACCTACACCACCTGACACAAAATGGAGGTTTATTGGAGATGCTGTAGTTCATGCTTGTTTCACGGTTCACTCCATTAATCTAACCTAACAATCCAGGTAGAAGGTCATTGCGTGTTACTTACTGCAGGCGTTCTCGTCGGAGTCATCGGCACAGTCTGGAGTACCGTCACAAAACCGATTCTTGGGCATACACTCCCCTGACCCACACTCGATCTCATCCCCGGGGCAATTTGATACCGCACCCTCCGGTAATGGCCATATGGGCTGTGGGGGGTGCTTCTCTGTGGACGGACATACATACCATTAGATTAAGGGGGAAGGACAATGGATATCAGTAACAATTAGCTATTATACCAAACTAAGACTTAATGTATGACTCAAATAATCCTTTTTGTTTTGTTCTTTAATTTCGCCTGAAATATTTCTTATTTATAAAAAACACCTACGGTTTTGTTTCAATCATGATGATATGTTTTAGTTAATTTACAGCCTCTATATCTTTGTTTGAATGGAATAATAATTTTTATTATTATCATTATTATTGTTGTGATTAAAATAGTTTTATCTTATATTTTCCTTGTACTTTTGATGGTCATATACTGTATGGTTTGAATCTAAAACAACATCCAGAGAGAGCCGTTACTTACTGGTAATTACTTCACAGTTCGTGACCTGCCTTTTGCGGTCACAGATCTGCTGCTGAATGTCAAAGTAAAGTTCAGTCTGGCACTGGTTCTGAGTGATCGTCTTTGTAGACGCAGGAGAACCGGCGATGCAGAGGTAGTAGATGCCGCAGTTGGCTTTGTACTGTGGTGGGGCAAATAAGTGGACATGTTAAGTGAAACTGTTGGTCAATTAAAGTTCTTGGTAGTGTGTAAGAAGCCGATAGTACGAGTCTAGTCACTTGACCTGGGCTGAAATCCTGATTATTTGAGATTCTTGATAAAACAAACATAAACTTCACTAAAATAATCTATTCATTTGATACTTTCTTAAGCGGCAACAGTAAACAAAGTCATTTCCCTCAGCAGTTACGCTCTATGTAAAGTCATATAAATAAATAAATAAATAAATAAATATATATATATATATATATATATATATATATATATATATATATATATATATATATATATATATATATCTATATCAATTTATAATTTATTACTGTCCATAGGTGTGTAAAATAATACTTACAAGATCAGCAAATTGGTCTGGGGGTCCAAAATCTTTTCTGAAGTACTCATTACTACGGTCGCCAGTACAATAGAATTCTGGATCCATGTCCAGCTTGGACTGAGCTGCCACCCAGCCTGTCGCCACTGTAAACCAACAAGGAAAAATAGAATGAATAAATGTCAGAATGCTTATAAAACGACAAAACAAATGTCAGACGAATAGCTGACATGATTAGATGTACTGTATATATATATATATATATATATATATATATATATATATATATATATATATATATATATATATATATATATATATATATATATATATATATATATATATATATATATAAAGGTAGATAGCTGGATATATGGGCGAGGTGAATAGACAGGTAAATAGATTAATATATAGCTAGACTTATGGGTAGGAATATGGAGGGAAAGATAGATTGGTGGGTAATTGGTAGCCTTAATGAAAGAATTGTATAATAATCAGAAAACAGAGAGATGAATGAATTACTCAACAATGTATGAGTCACAGGAGAGAGAGAGAGAGAGAGAGAGAGAGAGAGAGAGAGAGAGATATCCTTGAGAAATTAAGTGTGAACACGTTAGCTATATAATAATAATGAAGCTGAATGGCCGTGAAAAAAAATATCTGGGATCGCTATATACTGTACGTTGCCATGGTAACCGCGTATCATTCCACTAACGATGTTATTATTGTCAAAACAGAATTTAACAACAGAGACATACACTAATGAACAAGCACAAATGAACTTCCCCAAAAAAGACTAAGATTTCTCCCCTAGAATGACAATTCGATTATGTGTATAGACTCGTGTATAGGTACAGAATAATCGCCAACGGGATAGCATCTGTACTGCTACTACTACTACTACTGTATTTCTTTTACTGTTACTACTATGCTTTTGTACGTGAGAGAATTACCATCTATCCTTATCTCTATCTCTTTCTCTCTCTCTCACGAATGGAAAGCTTGGGAGACGGTGGCACTGAGCCAAGGAATCCTCCCCCACCCCCTCACCACTGAACCGCTTTCTCCAACTCCGTCGCCACTAGAACACTAAGAGAATGAAGTCTTTTAAAAGTATTATGAAGGTGTTAGAATGCGTTGTTGAATGTTATATAGAACGTGGTAACCTGTAAGAACGGCGCTTAAAATCCGTGTCTAAATGGTAAAAGTAATATTAGATGATAACGACGAGACTTTTAAGAAATCCACCAAATAATATTCGTAGTGTTAATCAAAGTTATTTACGGTTCAGGTAGATGCCATAGTGTGATCATATTACGTGTAGAAATGGTAGGTGTGAAATAATATGTCTTGAGGATTCAAACGAGATTAACTAGCATACGATCATGGTGTATGTACATAAAGATTGGAATACTTGAGAGAGTCGTAACACCCGACGTGACTGTATATTTACGAGACTGAGAGCGTAGTGCTGTGAAGGTCGAGTCAAACGCCAAACTGAGAATTTTGTTTATACTGTAGTAATCTTAAAACTATCCAAGTTTAAATCTATAGGTAATCATATCTCTCTCTCTCTCTCTCTCTCTCTCTCTCTCTCTCTCTCTCTCTCTCTCTCTCTCTCAGTTCCCATTATGTATTTTTTTGCACGATCAGTACAATTTGGAAACCTTAAATACACACACCTACATTAAAAACAATCGAATTATTTCGAGTAGGTTGTCCAAGTAAATGTAAACAAACAGCCGTGTTTACGATATAGAGTTGTCAGCAAAATTCTAGACTGACACACGGACATCAACAGAGCTATTTGACATTATGTTACGTAACTGGAAGCGTAAAAAAACGGAGGAGAAAAAGAAGAATGTAAAAGGCAAAGGTATAATGAGTTGATCATACCAGTTTGAACGATGACAAATATGTCACCGGGCGATCCAGTCTATCTCTAAAATGGAGGAGAAAGTGGTAGTTTGAGAGTGTGTGTGTATGTGTGTGTGTGTATGTTAAATCTTAAAGCTAAAGAATAGATTTGGAGAGACAAGGGTGTGGGGAGGGGAGAGTGAGCGAAATAGTAGAAGGTGGAATGTTGAGAGGAAGAGGAAGGGGTATGGTGAAAAGGCACAGGAACAGTGGGTGGTGGTGTATGGAGTGGGTCGATGAATAGGTTGAGAGGGAAAAGCGTGTGAGGTAAGTGAGAGGGCAGGAAAAGAGGGTGAGATGAGTGAGAGGGCAGGAAAAGAAGGTGAGATGAGTGAGAGGGCAGGAAAAGAAGGTGATTTAGTGTTAATATGGCCTTTGAATTATGGTGAGAGGGGAAGAAGATGGAATGGAAGAAGAGAGGGCAAGACTGTGGCCTGGACTTGTGAGGGGGGAGGGGGGGGGTAAGGAAAAAACCTCGCCATCACTTTCACTGTCTGCGGTGACTAATACAGGGGAGGGAGAGGGAGGGACAGGGGGAACAGGGAGAGGAAGGGAGAACAAGGAGGGACAGTGAAGGAAACAGAGGGGCAGGGAGAACTGGGAGGGGAAGGGGGGGGGAGGTAACTACTACTATATATGGAAATAAAACAAATTACTCATTACACCACAACTTCTAACAAGCCATTAACAAATCATATATAATTAGCTAACTGGCCATTGGACTATCCGTATTCTTTACGTGAAAAGTGACTTCCTTTTACTTGTATTCACTTATATTTATCTGTAAAGGCGTGTGATTAGTCAACTCGCTGGCACCTTCGCTTATGAAGCAAATTATCCAATTATTTTAAGAACCTATAAGAATTTGATCCCATCACCAGGGCCGATTAGCAAGGTTTAACTACTCCCCTTTCTCCATTTATTTACTTTCTCTTTTTCTTATCCTCTTTGTCTCATTCTGTCTCTATCTATTGCCTTTTTCTTCTCTTATCTCGTTCGTGTATCCTTAGCTAAACTATTTTTCTCAAATTTTCTTTTAACCGGTCTTCTATCTTTACTATTTACCTTGGCAGCTGGTCACCAACCGGGTGTACACAGTGAACCAAACAGGGAGGTGGTGTGACCCGCAGTCTGGGAGAACGAAAGATTCCTGCATCACTTTTACAGGAGATGAGAGAACGAGACTCCTTACGGTCTCATGTCGTTGCAATTGTTATGTCATTTAGCTAATCTCTCTTTTGAATAACCAAGACTCCTCCCGTCTCTAGTTAGGGAGAATAAATTCACATTTAAATCCGGATTACAGAGAGATTCATGAGAGGATTTACTTCTGTGTTTGGTGACTCCATTAAATAATAGTTAAAAGGCGGTAGTAAAACAAATAACGTCAAGATTGTCTCGAGGTTATGGTGACTTGTTGCGTCGTCACATCACTAGAGATAGAGAGGGAAATTTTGTGTTGGAAACTTCGAGAACTTGGGGATTGGCTCTCGTCCACCCCCCCATCATCACCAGGCCGCGCGCTCCCAGCCACAACCAATCACCGCTACTACTTTCACTGTTGCTGCTGCCTCATGCCTCCACCACCTCCTCCGTTACATCATAAAACATTGGCTGCAAGTTACGCCACAGCAAGCACAGGTTATTTGGAAAGCACAAACGGCGACGGGACTATGTCGGAGGTGGTGGTGGCGGTCTTTGGAAGGCACACCGTTTGGGGACTGTTAACAGAGCTGGTGATGATAAGAATTTGGCGATACTGAATTTGGAATATTTTTTGGATAAAAATATTTTCATAATTTTGAAAGGTATCAGAATCATTAATCACCATCACAGCTCAAAAACTTTCTCAAAGAACCTAACACTTGATGCCAAAAGTCACTCTTCTTTGAGACTGAAGCGCTTGCTTAAGTGTGACATAAGTTAAAGCCCTGGAGCGAGCACACACAGCGCGCCCCCCCACACACACTTAACGAGGACGTCCCGCTTGTCGCACAGGTTTAATAGATCCACCGCAACATGTGCCACAAATAGGACGAGTTGAGGGAAATGTGAGGTTAAACAAGGTAAAGTTATCACTCACGGAGGACGAGAAGTGACGTAGTAACTCGACGTATCATGGTGTACTCCTGAGGTCCCCGGCCAACAGTCACCTATACTTATATAGTAAACCTGGAGTCAGCGCATGCGCAGGAGGTGGCCGTGGGCCGCCGCACAGCTCTACCACCCGGTTACTTTCACCTCCCTCAAGGGTCGAGGCCGTCATACCAGCTCTGACCCCTATACTGACCTCTTCTTAACCCCTTTTTGACCTAATATGTGGAACATCCTCAGAATCATAGATGAAGATCTAAAATAATCCAAAAATTTGGGCAAGGGGGGGGGGGGAGTCGGAACGGGATGTGGGCAGGGCTCCGGTAAGCCCCGCCTCATCCCGCCCTGCCACTGCCACGCTGGCTTCACCAACCAACAGCTAGTTCTCAGCTGGTTTAGGACAACAGTTCTCGAGGCCTCAGGCTGGATAACCTGATCCACGTCCTCTGGTAGGACACCTCGCGCAGGACAACAGGTGCAACAGACAAAGACAACAGATCACAGCAAACAGGACAATAGGTACCATGGCCATCAAGAGGAAAGCCTTCTTGTGACAACAAATCACACGCCCACAATCAGGACAACCTACCCAGATCAACAGGCCACACGCCCACAGAAAGGAAAACTTTCTTAGGGTAATATCTCACGCCCAGAGAGAGGTAGAGCAGTGTTCCCATGAAGACAGATCACACATCCAGAAACACGAAGACTTCCATTGGACAACAAATAAATTAAACGTCATCAGATAAGAAATCTTCTCCATAACAGTAGATTATACGCCCATAACTAGGACAATTATTTTACCAGGAGATTAAATCCGGTGCTCACATGCAGGACAGCTTCACCATGACGAAAGATCAAATGTCCAAAGAGTCACGCTCACAGGACAACAGTTGCCCACTGATAACTCACTAGTAACAAGGCCCGCTGATAACTCACTAGTAACAAGGCCCGCTGATAACTCACTAGTAACCAGGCCCACTGATAACTCACTAGTAACAAGGCCCACTGATAACTCACTAGTAACAAGGCCCACTGATAACTCACTAGTAACAAGGCCCACTGATAACTCACTAGTAACCAGGCCCACTGATAACTCACTAGTAACAAGGCCCACTGATAACTCACTAGTAACAAGGCCCACTGATAACTCACTAGTAACAAGGCCACTGATAACTCACTAATAACAAGGCCCACTGATAACTCACTAGTAACAAGGCCACTGATAACTCACTAGTAACAAGGCCACTGTTAACTCACTAGTAACAAGGCCACTGATAACTCTACTAGTAACAAGGCCCGCTGATAACTCGCAGTAACCAGGCCCACTGATAACTCACTAGTAACCAGGCCCACTGATAACTCACTAGTAACAAGGCCCACTGATAACTCACTAGTAACAAGGCCCACTGATAACTCACTAGTAACAAGGGCCCACTGATAACTCACTAGTAACAAGGCCGCTGATGGCTCACTGGTAACCAGGCCGCTGATAACTCTACTGGTAACAAGGCCCACTGATAACTCACTAGTAACAAGGCCACTGATAACTCTAGTAACAAGGCCCTGATGCTCACTAGTAACCAGGCCACTGATAACTCACTATTAACAAGGCCACTGATAACTCACTAGTAACAAGGCCCACTGATAACTCACTAGTAACAAGGCCCACTGATAACTCACTAGTAACAAGGCCCACTGATAACTCACTAGTAACAAGGCCACTGATGTAGCTCACTAGTAACAAGGCCCACTGATAACTCACTAGTAACAAGGCCCACTGATAACTCACTAGTAACAAGGCCGCTGATAACTCACTAGTAACCAGGCCACTGATAACTCACTAGTAACCAGGCCACTGATAACTCACTAGTGAAGCAAGGCCCACTGATAACTCACTAGTAACAAGGCCACTGATAACTCACTAGTAACAAGGCCCACTGATAACTCACTAGTAACAAGGCCCGCTGATAACTCACTAGTAGCCAGGCCCTTTGATAACTCACTAGTAACAAGGCCCACTGATGGCACTCACTAGTAACAAGGCCCACTGATAACTCACTAGTAACAAGGCCCACTGATAACTCACTAGTAACCAGGCCCACTGATAACTCACTAGTAACAAGGCCCACTGATAACTCACTAGTAACAAGGCCCACTGATAACTCACTTGTAACAAGGCCCACTGATAACTCACTAGTAACAAGGCCCACTGATGGGTCAACCTCCGCAGGACAACGCATTATATACTCACAGACAAGACAGCAAGTAAGACAACAGAACAAAACAGAGCCATTGGATAAGACAACAGTAGTCTGTACAGATCAACAGACAACACGACAGACAGAGAACGGACAGTAAGGATGATACCGTATAAGAAAACAAACGCGATAACAGACAAAGCAACAGACAGAAACCAGAAGAAGCGACAGTAATAAGAACAGTCATTAAGAGAACAAAACAACAGACAGGAATACATACAAGTCAACAAACACACAACAAACACATCAATATACAGTACAACTAACAGAAAATGGTAATATCAACATAGAACAGGACAACAGACAACGGGCAGAACCGAAGATACAATCACTTGATCCCGAAACTTGCAAAAACTGATTGAAGCAATGTGGATTTTTCTTGCGGTTCCTCTGACGTAAAGCAACAGACCAGCATGTTGACTAAGGTGTGGGAGGGAGGGAAGAGCAAGGAATAAACGTTTGGGAGAAAGAAAGAGAATAAAAAGAGGAAGAAAGGAAGGAATAAAGTAGAGGTGGAGAGGGTGTAAATGTTAAAAGACGTAGAGAGAAAGAGTAGATTAATTTTATGAGTGAAAGAAAGTAAAGATAAGATGAGTAGATAGAGGGAAGGGAAGTTTAAAAAAAAGTAAATATGAGGAAAGAGGGAGAGAGTGAGGGAGACCACCAGCTCAAAGAGAGAGGGAGAAGGACAAGGAGGTTACAGGGAGGGAAGGGGAAGCAGGGAGGGGGGTTGTCGCTTGACGAGCTGAGGCAGAGGGAGGGAGGGAGAGAAGGAGGGAGTGAGGTTTAGAGAGAGGGAAGGAGGGGGCAAAGAGAGAGGGAGTGACTGAGAACTGATCAACTCCTAGGTTTCAAACATTCATTGTTGAAGGTTTCATAAATGTTTCATGATTAGGAGAAGAGTGTTCTTAAGGTTCAGTAAAGGCTTCAAGCAAGGTTCAGTAGAGGGTTCAAGCCATAGAGGTTTCATATGAACCTAGAAGTGACTAATGGCACCCAGGGCAAGTGAGATTAAAGGGTTTCAGTACAGGGTTCAGATATAGGTTCAGTATGAGGGGTTCAGAGGGACGTAACGGTAAGGCAGAACAGGAGAGCTCAAGGGTTGACAAAAAGAGTTCAGATGGAGGTATCGTCCAGTGGCCGTGGTTAACTCTCTCTCTCTCTCTGTCTCTCTCTTCCATGGCCCTACTTTAACCTCTTTTCCTCTTTTTCCCTTTCTCTCTCACACTTGCTCATAATTACTGTACCAATACTAACTTAGTGGAGATAGTCTACTAACCCCTTCTGTACCGGGGGTTCTTCTCTGAGTTGAATAAAATCGTCCGGCGTTAGGGTAATAAACTATGCCAAATTCTGATTTATTATTATATATATTCTGGAACTTCTACCTCACTAATATTAATTCTTTGTTCTTGTTTACTGTTTATGTCTATCTTGTTTACATAGCCCGTTACTTAAGTCTTTATTTCTTTGTTTGGTTTACTGTTTATTTTTCCAGTATTTTGTTGTTGTTGTTTTAATGTATTTTTTTTTATCTCTCTTCTTCAGGTGTTTGTAAGAGGTACTGGATCTATTGAACTATATTACCCAATTGCTTTTCTAACACATATATGGAGGTTATTGAGCCAGGTATATATTTTTAGTGTATTGGATTCAGTTATAATATGTATTGAACCGTGTTAGGGTCGGTATCGTCTTATCCTACGGTATGTAAAATGAGTGACAATAAGAGAGAGAGAGAGAGAGAGAGAGAGAGAGAGAGAGAGTGTGTACATATAGTGTTTCTTAATGATCGGTAAATACGGTATACTGTTACGTAATGGTCACTTGGTTACAGAGATTCTCTTGAGAAACTTCTAGGAAATTCTTGGATGACAAAGACGTTTATAAATGTGTTGTTGCTTTAAGTAAATGTTTAAATTATGTATGTATGTATGTACTCTATGTATGCATGTATGTATATAATGTTCAGTATGTATGTATGTATGTATCTATGTATGTAATATATGTATGTATGTATAGTATGTATGTATGTATGTAATGTATGTATGTATGTAATGTATGTACAGTATGTATGTATGTATGTATGTATATAGATGTTTAAGGTAAATATTTACGAATGTGTTTATATTTAAAGCGTTTGTTTGTTGTGGCTAACCTTGTGGTGTGTTTAAGTCATTGTGTTTTAATCTCAAGGAAATGTCTTTGTTTTTAACTGAGACATACTTAATGGCTGAGTGATTAAATACATGGCTTTGGAGTCTTCTTGTTTCCTTATTGATGACTGAATTTGTTTGTCAGCTAATATTTTTTATTTATTTTGTGTTTGTTTGTTTGGTTCGGAAATAAAAACAAATTGTGGTTAGTTTGGCATTTATTATTATTATTATATTATTATTATTAATTAGGGGGTTTGGTTGATTGATGTTATTGGTATTATTATTATTATTATTTGCTTCGTTACCTGATTATTTGTTCCACTCCTTCCTTTCCCTTTCTCCTCTCTTTCTCTTTCTTCTCTCTTTCCCTTTCTCCTCTCTTTCACTTTCTCCTCTCTTTCCATTTCTCCTCTCTTTCACTCTCTTCTCTATCCTTTTCTCTTCTCTTTCCCTTTCTCCTCTCACTTTCTCCGCTCTTTCCATTTCTCCTCTCTTTCACTTTCTCCTCTCTTTCACTTTCTCCTCTCTCTCTCTTCTCTTTCCCTTTCTCCTCTCTTTCACTTTCTCCTCTCTTTCCCTTTCTCCTCTCTTTCACTTTCTCCTCTCTTTCACGTTATCTCTTTTTCTTTCTCGTCTCTTCCTCTTTCTCCTCTCTTTCCCTTTCTCCTCTC